CCGCCTGCAGGTTCGAAACGAAAGCTTGAACAACGGCGGAGGCTTTATTTATGATCACTCTGCAGGCTCCCGCACCGACAGCCTCGAAGCCGCCAACATGGACGGCCCAGGACGACGCTGCACTCGAAGATGCCTTCCAACTGGCAGAGGTGCAGCACGCAGTTTAACTCAGCCGTGCAATTCTCCGCTCAACGTGGCTGCAGGTGGAAAAGGTCAATGCCGCAGCTTCGTCAAGCCAATTCGATGCAAGCGCGGGCGAAGGCGGCGACGCAAGCGTTGCAGCAGCACGCCCCGATCGGCATCGCCACCGCCGCACGGCGCCGCAACAGGGATGTGCCATGGGCAATGCGAATGCCACGCAGCACGGCAGGCCCAGCATCGAGGCCGGCTGACCTTCTGGCCGCTCGTAAAATCATTTGACTGCCCAGCCAACTGGCCTGCCTGCGAGGTTCCCTTCAGTTTGGCATATCTGCTCTCGAGCACGGGGCTCGGAGCCATCGTGTTCCTGGCTGCAGATCACATGAATTTGATTCTCATTGCTTCCGAGGCCATGGGAGATTGCATCCCGACAACCGTGCTAACCCAATGGCTGTATCTACGTGGACGATGGGTCGCAGACAACGGAATCGGCTGCAGCATGCCAGTGCCTGAAGAAACGCCGCAACGCATACTCAGCCATGGTGCGCACCTTCCAGATAGAGACGGCGAGTCCTGTGAGGCTCTTTGTGGCAACACGGCCTCCTCCAACGAGTGCCAGGCCGGGGCAGGAACGGCTAAAAGTGGCAACTAGAAGTCGTCGTAGCAGCATTCGCACAGGCCACGGCAGGAAGGTGCAGCGCCATCCGCAGCGAGGCAACTCCTGTGGCCGTCGATTCTGCACTAATTCTCTGTTGGGCTCACTAACCTCGTTCGCTGATGCACTGGGACATTCTGCTCTTCATGTGCGCAGGTGACTGCCGGTCAGGACACAACCTTCTTGCAGGTGGTGAACATGGTCGCGGACGGCAACTGCTTATTCCACGCGCTGGTCCACACGCACAGGCGAGCGACGGAGGACGAGAACAGTGACGGGACCCTTCCTGCAGACCTGGCAGAAATCCTTCGTCGGGATTTGACAAGCTTCCTGATAGCCCATGCATTCGAGCAGGGCGACTTCGCAGAGACTTGGATGGAAGAGGCGGAACAGTTGGCAAGAGGATCGGAGGAGGCATGGGCTGGACATGTCTCCATCGTGGCCTTCTCCCTCATGCAGAAATGCCGCGTGCACGTGCATAGACCCGACTCCACCGTCCCAACAGACTCCACCCATCGAGAGCTTCAAGATCTCGCTGATTTGCCCGTGGTTCACGTGCTTTACAATGGACAAGACCATTATGATGCATTGGTGGAGGCCGAAGACGT